TAAAAATTAATTTCTTTATTCATCTAAGGTTGGGATGATTTTGCAATTTTAAATTTTCATAAGATTGCATGAATAATTTCATTGGTATCTATTACAAAATATACTTTGTTGCGGAAGCTTTCTTGAAAGATCTTCAAATCGGTGATTTTCGGGCTCAGTCCAACGCATCTTTCTCAACCAACAACCAGTTCAATTGGCTCCAAACTACAACCAATTGATTCGCCTTGATTGCTATTCAATATTACCGACGTAGGACAAGAAAAGATGATGATTTGTGGCCACAAAGGCTAGGAGAAGACACCACAAAGATATACTATGAAGGAACCACCAATTGCACACGTTATACAAGCGTTCTGGACACTTCTAGAGACATTTTTTCTCACACAAAGGGGGCAGTCGGGATTCTCTTTTTCTCCTCTCAAAATCACACAATACATCATTAGAAAGTGGCTAGGGTTATAGCTATATATACACTCTAGGGTTAGACTTTAAGTTGGACCATTAAAGGGGTAAACAGGCCAAGATTCAAGTCATCCATAAGGAAATACAATTTGGCCGCATGTAGCTCATGGACTCGATTGTTGGACTTATTTTCTTCATCGGCATATGCCTATGAAATAATATTTATCCACGTTAACATCATAACCCGAGATTTATTAGGTATCAAAAACTCAACAAATCTTCACATTGATACCCAATAAATCTGCAAGCAATCAAAACACACAGTTAGCACTTGTATAATCAAGGTAGACAATAAAAATGGATCATAGACCTTACCTCATGTTTCCAACTTGAAACACATACCATACCTGCTCCATGTACTCATTGGGGCTAAGGTCAAAAACACCCAAGTAGAAGTAAATATTTAACAGTAAACAATCAAGAGCAAATACACGTGCGACGACGATATAATATAGGATAACACATACAGATCTTTTCAGAAACACGTTCACATAGAACTATAGATTAACACAAAGTCAATCAAACCACGATCAATCACATATGCAACACATGCGTAAATGACCCTAAGAAAAGATCTCACCACACTTATCATATCCCATTCCATGTTGCTCCACATCTCAAGAACACATAACTTCTCTCATCGCCCACCAAGCTCACTAGATAGATCACTCAACTCATGTCTAATTGGTAAATCACAAAAGATCCTAATTCCACTGGATAATCCTCTATCTCCACATCACTTCTCCCAACCTATGTGGATAATGGGTCTCCACCTAACAGAAGTGTCTCTCTCACACTCCACCTGATCAGGGTCTTTTTCTAGATAAAAAATTCTAGACATTTGATACAACTCCACTCGTGATCCAAATGTCATACTTCACATCCCGGTACAAACCACCATGTACCCCTAGGCATCTATACTCCACCTCACCAAGGCACACAACACATTGTTAATGCATCCTAACCCACTTTGCATGCAAGCAACTACACCAACTAATCCTAATGTCCCAAATTCATGCAAATGCACATATCAAATACATTGAGATGTAGCAGATAATCGTGTAACAAAATTTAGACAATCACACACATGTAGAACAGGATCACACACAGATGCATACGCAGTGACTAGATTTACACTTAATAAACCTCACTGGGGTCATAACTCAACCCCTCAACCAAATTCGTCTCACCTCTCATCTTACCCTTCAGCTTATTTTTCTTCATGGGATAGTCCCTAATAAAGTGTCCAGATTTACCAAAACTGTAACACCTTCTACCACTAGACTTGTCTCGTCCCTTGCCCTTCTTCTTACTACCCTCATCACTCGAGTCACTACTCGAATCACTACCGTCTTGAGTTCTACCCAAATTCATATGTTTAAACTTCATTCTACTCCTCATCATATGTAACTCGACACTCCTCTTATCCTTTTTTCAGCCTTAATCTCCATCTCCTTACTCCTAAGTGAGTCTATGACAAATTTCGGGTGCTAAGGTGTTCCTACCGTACTTAATTGCATTCTTAACTTCACTATATAAATCAGGCATGGAATTAAGCAGGATAATAGCCTTATACGTTTCACATACCTCTTCATCATAATTAACGATGTCTTGAACTAACTTGTTAAAAACATCCAGATTGTCATCAAGATCCTTTGAAGGATCCATGTTAAAGCTGAAAAATTGTTCAAGCAAGTACAATTTATTAGGAGTTGACTTAAGCAAATATAAGTCCTCCAACTTTTCTCAAAGTTGTTTTGTAAAATTCAATTTTCCTACTTTTCTCAACACAGTATCAGACAGGTGTAAAATAATTGAAGTGTATACAAGTTCATCAAACTTTTCTTTTTGTACTTTTGTTAAATTTGTAGAAAACTTGCCATCTATGACTTTTGAAATTTTTTGTTGGATCAAAATACCCTTCATTTTTTGTTACCAAATTGAAAAATCCCTTTCCCATTGAAAATTTCAACTTTGAAGTGTGAAGACATTTTTAATGAGAAAATAAAAAATAGAACAAGCAAGTCACAAATAGGTCACACAAAGTAATCCTAAAGTTGCAAATATACACCGTTTTAGATTTCCAAGATTTCATAAGATTCACGATCTTAAATCAAGGGAATATTCGAACGGGTCAAGTCCAGGTGTTCTAATGGGATAATTAATGCAAACACGAAAGTATATAAACAAAAAATTCAAATTTTCACGCAACAAGTCTCACACAATGACTATATGACAGATAAAACACAAAATCGACTATCAGCTTGCAATCAAAGTTCAATACTTCAAAATAGAGCAAATAATTCCTAAATTTTCTAGCACAAGCAATAGTTGTCAAGTAATGACAACCCCCAATTCTAACGATCATCCCACACAATGATCTGCTAATGTTGAAATTTAAACTGAGTTAAGCCAATATACCAGAGCGGCAGAGCGGACCTATCTGAGTCCGTAAATTATGAGAGTTCCGAATTTATCACTTTAGGACCACCACTATTCGTCCTAAAGTCTCTGAAAACTGTAGCAACAAAAAAATCACGATCGAGTCCTGAATGCCCGAAGAACAACGCTATCCAAATTCTTCTACATGTCCTAAAACAAAAAACTTTCAACACAGAAAATGTCAGAAATAATGTTAGGAACAAACTGCCTGAAGGAACCTCCTCGAAATTCCCTCTCACGCGCCCTCACGCGCTGGTTCTTCCCTCTGCGCGTGGGCCTCATGCGCCACCACACGCGCCGTCGTCGACCGACACACGCTGCCATGTAGGGTTCACCTCCACCTGCACGTCACGTCAGTGGTCTCCGTTTCCCAAAACTCCGTCTATATTGATTAGAAAATACGAAAAATAGAGACTGATTTCGACAGTTTTTTCCGATTTGATTTCTGGTTCGTTTCTGCCGATTTCTGGACGTTTTTTGCTAGATTTCAAGAGCCAAAACCACCACCTTGAAACTCTGATACCAATTGTTGCGGAAGCATTCTTGAAAGATATTCAAATCGGTGATTTTCAAGTTCAGTCCAACACACATTTCTCAACCAACAACCAGTCTAATCAGCTCCAAACCACAGTCAATTAATTCACCTCGGTTGCTATTCAATTTTACCCACGTAGGACTAGAAAAGATGATGATTTGTGGTCACAAAAACTAGGAAAAGACACCATAAAGGTATACTATGAAGGAATCACCAATTGCACACGTTATACAAGCTTTTTGGACACTTCTAGAGACCTTTTTTCTCACACAAAGGGGGACAGCCGGGATTCTCTTTTTCTTCTCTCAAAAGCACACAATACATCATTAGAAAGTGGCTAGAGTTATAGCCATATATACACTTTAGGGTTAGGCTTTAAGTTGGACTATTAAAGGGGTAAACAGGCCAAGATTTAAGCCATCCATAAGGAAATACAATTGGGTCGGGTGTAGCTCATAGACTTGGTTGTTGGACTTATTTCATTCATCGGCCTATACTTATGAAATAATATTAACTCACGTTAACATCATAACCCGAAATTTATTGGGTATCAAAAACCCAACATACTTCATAAAAATAAAGAATATATAAATATAATTAATAAAAAATATAATTTTGCATAAAAGAAAATGAAAATGGAATAAAATTATGTAAATGATATATTAAAAATGCTCAAATGAATGTTAATTTATAGATGGATGGAAATGAAAAACTAATTCCTAGATAAAAATAAAATAGTAATTGAAATTTTGGAGTATAAAAAATCGATATTACAATTTTGCGTACTCTAATATAAATGGTGCAATATATTATTTTCAATTATGAGTATGTTAATTTATTTAACTATTTTTCATGAGAAAGCTGTAAATCCTTTAATCGAAACACCTTTTTGTACCACACAGCGAATTTTGTAATAATTAATTTGAAAAATATATTCATGAGATCACATCTTTTCATCAACATATCTTATTAATTTTTGTCAAAATTTATTAAAAAATTAATTTTAATTTTCACCAAAGGAACTAAATATTTATTTATTCATATATTTCGAGATACAACTAAACCAGTCATTTATGGTGTTATGACGAGTTAATTATTCCAATGGTTATTGAACTTAAATTTATATCTTTGATTGGTCACTGAAATTTAAAATGTTGAGTTTTGATCACTGAATTTAGATTCATGTTTTTAATTGCTCATTACAATTTAAAATGTCAAGTTGTGACCACCCGAACTTTGAAAAATATCGTACGTTAATCACTATAAAATAGACATTTTTCAAAATTTAGCATTTGTGCTAGTCAAAACGTTCAGCATTTTTTAAAATTTAGTGGTCAAAATTCGACATTTTAAATTTCAATGAGCAATCGAATACATGAATCTAAGTTCAGTGATCAAAATTCGACATTTTAAAATTTAGTGATCAATTAAAGACATAAAACTAAGTTGAGTAACCAATGAAACAATTAATTCTATTATGACTTATGTGGGTTGTGGTTGTCAGTCTAAACGAGAGGATAACTATGGGACCCACACACAGTGTCTTCAGTTACACCCCTACCCAAAAGAGAACTCAGAGAGGGAGTACAATAATGGCGGCAGCAGCAGCAGTAATCCGTCCTCCCTTCACAATTTCTTCTTCTTCTTCTTCTAAGAGTAATTCTACTCTCCTTTCAAGAAAATCTATTATTTTATCATCAACAAGTTCCATAGTAGGATGTTCAAGATTGAACTGCATGATCAAGAACCAGATGTCAACAAGCAAGAAGAATGCTAGTGGCAGTAGGCTACTGGTGAAATGTATGGCTTCATCATCTGTTCTTCCAAAAGCCCTTTTGTTTGATTGTGATGGTGTGCTTGTTGACACTGAGAAAGATGGACATCGCATTTCGTTTAATGACACCTTTGCTGAAGTACACTCTCTAAACATTTTGTTTTTGTGAATTCTTTTTTGAGCATTAGACTGATTGAATTTCTTGTTTAAGGAGTACCCTTGTAGGTTCAGTATTGTTTTTATGTTCAGGACAGCATAAGGGATCTGATTATAAATCTTGGATATTGTTCTTTCTTTAACGTCAATTTGAAATGGTTAGTCTTTATTTGATGTGTCATTGAATTACTTGGGAATGATTTGGTATTTCTGGTGAAATATATTGCTAATTTTATAGCTGTGGACTATTCTGGTGTTTGCAAATTGGGATTTCATATTTAAATTCTTTGGGTGATTTTACGAAAAAAAGATCTGAGATGAAGCTTTCTATTCCTCAAATTTTTTTTGTTCCTTGAGTGTCTTTTGCCAATCAATTCCACCTCAAGTTGATCAAATGCTATTGTAAAGTTTCTGTTTTCGTCACTTTTGTCGTAGTTGTTTATAAAGCTCGGAGTTTTGGTAAACAAGAAAAATACACACAACTTAGTGATTATCAGCTCAACAAATACTAACAATTTACTCAATATTGGGCCCGAGATAAGTGTGAAATTTACATTCATCACTTCCCGGGAAGCCTTATTCTTTTCGAGAAAAAAACTCTCAAGGAAGCTCCAAGTAGATGACAGGTTCAATGGTTATGTATGAATTAACAGTGATTGCCTTATGGTTTAGTGAACATTTAATTTGTTTGATCGCGCAGAGAGAGTTGGGTGTGACTTGGGATGTTGATTTATATGGTGAATTGCTCAAAATTGGGGGAGGAAAAGAAAGGTAAATTCAATTTTCTTGGGATTTTGTATAATTCTTAGAATCTTATATGTAATTGCTTTGAATTCCGAGGTTTCTCTGCTAAAGAAATTCAAAATTTGGGTTAATTTAGATCAGCGTTACAGAGGGTAGATTTAGGATTGAATATAGTGGAAAACTTCTTTAGTTCGAATGTCAATTCATTTTCAAGATTCAAAATATGAAATATAGCGTTTGTTAGCTAATAAAGCTTCTTGGACTAATTTTTTTAAATCATTAATACGGTTGGTATGTGTATTCCAGGATGACAGCCTACTTTAACAAGGTGGGTTGGCCAGAAAAAGCACCAAAGAGTGAGGAAGAAAGAAAGGAATTTATAGCATCACTTCACAAGAGAAAGACGGAATTGTTCATGGCCCTTATTGAGAAAAAGTTGCTGCCTCTTCGACCTAGTGTTGCCAAGTAAGTTATCACTTGATTTTTTTTTCTACCATGTGAAATTGGTGTTCTCGAGAAGAAAAATTACTACCCTCTCACTTAATGATTTAGTCCCCAATGCTTTCATTAAGGTGCTTTTCGATCTTCGAAAATCTTGAAACATTCCCACCCTGAAGTGCATATACTATGAAAAGATGCTGCATTTATCTATATCTACAACATGCTGCTAATTCATGTGGTCATATGTTTTCTTCTTTTCATTTTGAAAATTTGCTAAAATTGCCATTCCTCCCTAAGGTACTCTAATAATGACTGCCAGGAACTAGGATCCCTATAATTTTTTGCTCTTAGAGTTGGATCTCAGAAAGATAGTCATTGCTTACATGGAATTTCACAAAACTTTTCAAAATTTGGCCTTTTATATTTCCCAAAATTTGTGTCGGGAGCATGTAATGTATTCGTTGAAGTTCTCTTTCAATAATACCATAATTTTAGTTTTGAAGAGCCTTGTATAATAGATCTGTAGTTATGACCTTTCTGGTAGTCTTGTTCTAAGAAATTCTTCTGCTACTACAAATAGTCTCACAAACTCAAAATTGGAGTCCTAATATCTTTTGAAAATTTCATACAAAAGTATCATGATTATTGAACTAAATTTGTCAGGCTAATAGACCAAGCTTTGGAAAAAGGAGTGAAAGTTGCTGTGTGCAGCACTTCAAATGAGAAGGCGGTATGCATCTTGTGATCTTAAGTTGCATGTCATGTTCTATTTTGTACTGCTCTTTATGGTAATCCAGTAAAGTTATGAACGAAATATGTATGTGTTAAATTTGGAAAAATTGCATAAGTAGCCATTGGAAGTTGAAGTTAATGATTTTTATTTGGTCCCATTGAACTTGTATCAGCTGATGTTGTTATATTAGATTTGCTTGACCTTCTATTTTTAACAGTTTCTTCACTATAGTGTCTGAAAAAGTCCAGCTCAAAGTACTTCTTAAACATGTTATACGGATTGAGATTTTCCAGTAAATTTCAGGTTTCTGCCATAGTTTCATTCTTGTTGGGGCCTCAGCGAGCGGAAAAAATACAAATATATGCAGGAGATGTGGTTCCTCGTAAGAAGCCTGATCCAGTAAGCTTCTAACCCCTCCTACTTACTGTTAATGAGCATGCTTGTGTGCACAATTCTCTCGTTTTATATTATCTTTTGAGTGAACTCATCTAAAAGTTTAACCTATTGGAAAGGGGACGCAATTATTTATTTAAATTGGGTCTCAACACGCGGAATCACATGCAGACCGCATTCATTTCTCATTAAACACTTGCAACGTGTACAATTTTCATGAATGGGTGGTAGCAAGACTCGAACTCATGTCTTTTGCATGTTCTGGTACCATATTAAACCACTTAATATTATCTAAAGCTTAAGCAGTATTAAAGAGGACACTTATATTCATTTGATCCGTGGCTTCAACAATTTTTTTTACATTGTAGCTTCGGAAGGATAACTTTGTTATGTTGTCAATGCTTTTGAAGTCCATGTAAGTTTATTAGCAGTTCTGAAGGTTTTATCTAGTCCTTCAATTGGCAAAACAGACAGTTCTTTTTTCACTTGTCTATCATATAATTCACTATTCCTTTTCTATGAGGCTCTCGCGTATTGGTATTAACAGATGTTCTTTAACATGAGCTTTTCCCTTTACGATTATCTGCAAAAATAAAATTATCAAGTATTCGAGTCTAACTTTCTCATATATATACACACACACGTATTCTTTGCAGGCAATTTATCTGTTAGCTGCCGACACATTGGGAGTCGAACCTTCGAGGTATTGCTTTGTATTTACAAACTTTTACATATATGTTCTACAATGTCAATTTATCGTGACGACATGCTCATCAGTTGAATTGCGAAAGAAGATTATGCCTTGTTATCATTTTAATCAGACAAAGGAAATTACAAATACGAAATTTTCTCGATCAGTTCAAAAATTAGTCAGCATAAATGTTGTTAAATCTCTATTCTTTGCAGTTGTGTTGTTGTGGAGGACAGTGCAATTGGTCTTGCAGCTGCCAAAGCTGCTGGGATGAAGTGTATTATAACAAAGAGTGGGTAAGTTCTCTTTTTAAGGTTGAAAAAGAAGATTCGAAATACGACCAATGCACACCCGGGTTTTCACCATCGACTAGGTCCACTTGAAACTGCTAGTTCATTGAGAGAATAAGTGAACAATATGACTTAGGCTTAAGCACAATCCAAGATCCATAACCAAATCACAGACATCAGAGGCTTATTTTATCACTGGCTTATTCCTATGCTTCAGGTACACGGCCGATGAGGATTTCTTAAATGCGGATGCAGTTTTCGATTGCATAGGAGATCCTCCAGAGGAACGGTTTGACTTGGCATTTTGCGGTAGCCTTCTTGAGAAACAGTATGTCAGTTAGCCTACTTCTCTGATGGTCACCTTTCCTCACCCCCTCAGTGTATTTCTCTCTTGATCATTTATAAACATGGTTAATCCAATATTATATTTCTTCATTTCTCTTATAATATAGTATGACAAGAACAACATCAATGTTGAGTCTTGCTTACATTGAGAAATTACTTGTGCATATGCTTCATCAAGTGAAAATTTTAATGTTAAGCTGAGGTGGACTCTGCTGCGGCGGGTCAAAAAATCTGGGATGCGGCCCAAGTGGGACGATATGTCATTTGGGGCTGGCCCAACACCGAATGGGCTAACTTCATTTTCCTCGTACAAATATATTCCCGAAAAAGATAAAATATGTGACAAAACTCTTGCACTCAGAACATACTCGAAGTTCGGCTTCAGACTTTACACCTCCTTCAGGGAATTAGACTCCACGAATGCAATACTGAATCCATTTTCATTCGCAAAAAGAAGCCCATCTCTCAGCTAGAGCTTTTGTATCCACAACCACTCCAAACTCGGCCGAGTTGGCTGCCTCTGAATGGATGAATCATCCTCCCTTGTAACCTTTTCATCGGTATTTAACTTTAGATTCTTGTTAGGTAGCATATAGAAAATAACACATTTTCTTAATTTATTTTATGAAATTGATTAGGTTGTCCCAAATTAGATGATGTATAGTGCCGGCCCTGACTATAGACGGGATAGGCGATCGCTTAAGGCCTCACTTCGGTGAAGACCCCAAAAAAATTATTATTATTTATTTTACATGTATTTTTACATATATATAGAGTCTCATATTTGAGATTGGTCTAAGCCCCCAAAATGCAGTGGTGTAGAGATGCTGTCTCTTTCTCCTAACATGAAAATTCTTATATGCACTTTTAGATGATGTACAGTGCCGGCCCTGACGATAGACGGGGTAGGCGATCGCTTAAGGCCTCACTTCAGTGAAGACCCCAAAAAGATTATTATTATTTATTTTACATGTATTTTTACATATATATATATATATGTAAAAATATATAGTCTCATATTTGAAATTGGTTTAAGCCCCCAAAATGCAGTGGTGTAGAGATGCTGTCTCTTTCTCCTAACATGAAAATTCTTATATGCACTTTTTGTTGGAAATAATGTTACTCCACCAAAGATATTATGAGAACGAATTATAAAAAAAAATCGAAAGAATAATAGGAGATGAAGGAATGACAAAGTATATATATGAAGAAATTGAAGGCTCAAACACAATCTTTAATTGTTGTCCTCAAACGAATTTTGCCCCCACTATTTTGGTGTTTAAAGGGTGATCCGGCAAAAAGTTTGAAAGATTAATCAAGCCTTATAGAACACTAAACACTTGTTTGAATCTCTAAAACTTAAGAACACAAAGAAAAGATGAATATGAGAGGGTATTTTATCCTTTGGATTTGATCTCAAGAAGGATCAATATAATAAGTGTTTTTTCAACATTTTTCAATGACCCAAGATCACCTATTTATAGCCAAGTAGTATAGCTTTACGAAGTGGTGCACCTTATGGATGAAAAGCCACCAAAAAACCAACAAAAAACGACCCAACTGTCGTTTTTTATGTACCATGCGACCGCATGGTACAAACCCATGCGGTCGCATGGTACAACCCTACCGAGACCATTTGATCTCGGTAGGGTTCCATGCGGTCGCATGCCTAAATTTTTTTTTTTTTTTTTTTTTTTTTTTTGGTTTTTAACAAT